ATAGGAGTCTCACGGTCTCTCCTGCCCAGGCTGGCTTTGAACAGGGATCCTCAGATCTCAGCCTCCTGAGTAGCTAGGATTACAGGAGTGAGCCACCAGCACCCGGCCCTGCCTTATTTTTTAGGATTAATTATGTTGACTCTTCATCTTCCCCTAAGGGTATAAGCTCTTTCAGGGAAACTTTATGATTTGATTGTCATGTAAAATCTAGTGCCACCGCTCTTCTTGTCAGCGGCCAGAGGTGACCTGTGAAAATGGTTTGCAACTCTCCAGACCCAGAAAACCCCACAAAATCATGCAAGTCAAGAGGTCCCAATCTTCGTGTTCACCTTAACATCACTAGAGATACAGCCCAGCATCAAGGGTATGCATATCCAAAAAGCGACTAAGTATCTGAAAGAAGCAATGTGTGCCATTCTGGCGTTTCAATGGTGGAGTTGGCAGGTATGCTCAGGCCAAACAGTGAGGCTGGACACAGGGTCGGTGGCCCAAAAAGAGTGCTGAATTTCTGCCGCACATGCTTAAGAATGCAGAGAGTAATGCAGAACTGAAGGGTTTAGATGTAGACTCCCTGGTCATTGAACACATCCAGGTGAACAAAGCACCTAAGATGCGCCGTGGAACTTACAGAGCCCGCGGTAGGATTAACCCAACCATGAGCTTCCCCCTGCCACATTGAGATGATCCTTACTGAGAAGGAGCAGATTGTTCCTAAACCAGAGGAGGAGGTTGCACAGAAGGAAAAGGTATCCCAGAAGAAACTGAAGAAACAAAAACTTGTGGCATGGGAATAAATTTAGCATAAAGTAAACACAAATAAATAAAAAAAAATCTAGTGCCATGTTTTAGACCTAACCACTTACTATAGGGTCACAGGAGGTAGCATGACACAGCTGGAGATACTGTGACCAGACTAAGAAAAAAATGAAAGACTAAATTCCCACATTTACAAAAACCATGGCTACTACCATTGGCTACTGAGAGCAAATACAATAACACACAGGAACAGTATCTCTCCAAATAAAGTATGTCAAGTGACAATACTGTTGTCATCAAAATAATCTACTTGGGACACTATAAATTCTAACTATAATTCTAACTTAAAATTTCCAGAAAGAATGGGCATCAGTGGCTCATGCCTGGAATCCTGACTACTCAGGAGGCTGAGATCTGAATGGTTTAAACTGGTTTGAAGCCTGTCTAGGCAGAAAAGCCTGTGAGACTCTTATCTCCAATTAGCCAGCAAAAAGCAGAAATAGAGCTGTGGTTCAAGTGGTAGAATACCAATACTGAGCAACAAGAAAACCTAGGGGACAGCACCCAGGCCCTGAGTTCATGCCCCACTACTGGGGGGAAAAAATCTCAAGGTCATTTTCCTTATGCTAGTATGTAATTTAAGAATCCATTGTTCTGGAAAGGAGGGGAGTAACAATGCTCAAAAGGAAATGTACTCATTACCTTACTCATGTAACTGTAACCCCTCTGTACAGTATCTTTAAAATAAAAATATATATTAAATAAAAAAAGAATCCATTAAAACAGCCATGATGAGCTGGCCAGCCTTTCTGGGGATAGGTTTCCATTTTTGAAAAAGGCAGGGGTTAGGGAACAGGAAACAGAGCTCAGATTGCAGCAAAAATCATTATAATTAGAAATCATGCTTCATAAAAAAGAACTTAATGTAAATATTCTGTTACAGTGTATCAATATCACCATTCATAAAAATGAGTTCATTCTAGAAGATTGCTTCCCTTAGATATCCCTTCAGTGCAGTTTCACTGTTAGAGGCTCATGAAGAGGAAATTCTACCTACTATTTCTCTAACTGAATATTCCAGAACAGAGCCTATTAGGCTTAAGGGTCATAAGAGAAGTACCTACTGTGTCTCCCACCTGGACAGCCGCCAGCCCACAGTCCCTACAGCACCAAGGCCACCTAGAAGCATCAACGAGGGAGGGTCTATCTGATAAGCCTGAGGAAGAACAACCCTTTGCATGTCTATTAGTGACTACATAGGATGGAGAAGATGACCTAGGCCTAGAGAGAGTGCAGTCAGAGCCAGACAAGTGGCCATTGCAAGGCCAGGAATTAAACCTGAATCTACCAGACTCACTTGTGTTCCTCACTCATAGCCCTGCCCCTTCCTTCTCTCTCCCCCTCACCCATGAGGTCCTCCACTGTGTACAGTTTACATATCACTGCCCAGTCAGCCTCCAGAGCAGCAGGTACATAGATGAGAGGAGACCTAGGTTCCGGTCTAAGCTAAGTGACTCAATGTGTACCTAAGGTTCACTCACTTAACCTTCTGCCTAAGTTTCTTTACTAGAAAAATGGATGGCAATAAGATTGGTTCCACTTCCTAGAATTACAAAAGGAGTAAATCACCATGCAAATGTTCAAAATTATTTCTGTTGTTCTGATTATAAAAATAAACGATTGGTTAGTTAGGGCACCCTGACTATGAAGGCCTCATATCATTTTCCTTGTATCGTTTTGTCTGCTTGGATCAGTGTTAGCAAATCAGGGAACTCATGACAAACTCTGCCTATCAACTGCCTTGGTGGTACAGTAAACCTGTCTTGTACCTACTATCCTGGCTGTTTCAAACCACTGGCAGAGATGAAGAGTGGCCACAGAAACTTCAGTATTTTGTCTGGCTACAATGTATTTTGTCTGGCTTGTGACAGAAAAGCTTACCATCCCACTCTTAATAATCCTAAGCCAAAGACAGTTACAAACAAGCTGTAATAATCTGAATTTTCCTCAAATTTTGCATGTACACACACATACACAAGTCATTATCAAAAGATATACTGTATTGTGAATAAGTAGATGAGAAGAGGTAGTAATGTTTTAAAACTGCCCTTATAAGGAACCAAAAAAAGATAAAGTAGGATAAGTCAAAAAGATGCATTCAAGTTCACTTTTTTTAACTTTCTGCATTTTGAAGAATAATAACCCATGGGTTCCACAAAAATTTTTACTCTTCAGTAAAGAAAAACCATGCAACTTGTTCCATGAATATCTCCTATTTTAACCAAAATAAAGCAGGAGAAATAACTCAAGATACAAGTGTGAAACCAGTGTGAAACCCACATTGGAATAGGGTTTTTGAATGTGCTTTTAAGCTTTTTAATTAAACTTTGTAAAATTAAACTACTTTGCCAATCCTTTCGTGGAGAGTTGAATTCTAATTTTTTTAAATACTGCAGGGACTAATTTTTGCTGCACTTTGTATTTTTGAATAGGCCGTGTGTATTCTACTCCTGAACACCTGGTTAAATGCCAGAAAGGAAAATGTGCAGTGTGGTTTCACAAGCAGGCTTCCTCTGTTTCCCAAAGCCTTCAAATATTTCGTTTCAAAATGAATATACTGTAAGCCAAAAATTACCACCCTTCGATTACTCTGTCACTGCTACTGTAAAGATTCACCATAAATGCAAGGAGGAGCAGACAATGTTGCTGATGACCAGCTCCCAAGAAAACTAAAGTCAGAAAAAGTCACTGACGTCCAGAATAACCTACTGAGATCTTCATTCTCCTACCTTCTCCTTACCTCCAAAAATAAAAAAATCAAAAACAAACTAGAAAATAATATCCATTATTGTTGCTAAGAAAGCCATAGATTTTAGAAAGTGGACTAAATTTCAGAGTTCATTAACTAGAAGCCCATTTGTTTTCTGGAGAGGGAAACACTGAGACCTAGAAATATTGACTAGCACACCCTGTAGACTGGCTAGTTAGTAACTAGCCCAGGACTAGAGTCCAGTTTCTGGCTTATCAGGTTGACACTCTGCCATGAGATTCAGCTATCCTGCCCCACTAAACATAAATGTACCATTTGGCACTGTATAGCCAATGTCTTAAAATATGTCCAAAGTACCATTATGCTAGCCACAAAAGTCAAAATATTCTTTTAGATCATATCTATGGGTGTGCGGGATTTTGTTTGTTCAGATTACAGAAGGATCAAGAATATGGTTGCAACCTCATAAAGATCAGCAGAAAACATAAAACAGTAGAATAATCAGAGAACTAATAAGGACCTCAAAATGCCCTTTGTGTTTTGTCCTGATGAAAGTCAGTATGAAGTAGACTCTATTCCTCCCCTGCCCCCATTCACACACACAATCCTAAGACTAAACAGCAGTATTCCATAAAAAGACCCGATCTAGCCAGTGTTATTATCTGTCTGACATTTGGGTTATTCTTGTGAGTAAGTCGTAAAGTAGCATGGGTGTCTGGATTATTTGAGTACACATGGCAAGCCATAATTGGTCAAGGAATAATAAAAGACTTTTTTTTCAGTGACAAAAATACTATGCTGCATGACAGCATAGCACGGTGGCAGTTTTCAGTAGACCACAATACTTTCTCCACGTACCAAAAAAAAAAAAAAGCACCAAAAATTTAAAAAGAAGCTAAAAGCCTTTTCTTGTATGCAGTGAGTAGCTACAAGTTCATATTTACAAGTTTTTGACTGCCGACAGTTATTCACTAATACCCCTTCCCCAGATCCCTCTTACATATTAATTTATCATTCAGTCTCACCATACAGGGCAAACCTTCCAAACCGTGGGCTTTGATAATTTTTAGAGTTTATTTTCAAAGTGCAGTTTAAAATTTCATCACCACCTTCCAAAGAATGAGTCAAATCTAATATATATTCTATTTATCAGTGAGCCGATCATATAACTTACATATCAGGGCCCCCACCTAAAACCTGATCTCTTCTCTTTCTCTAGCCCTACCTCCCCCTTGCCACACAGCTGGGGGAATGTTAAGGAATCCAGGGAAATAGTCTAGTTGCCATTTCTCTCAGACACAGAAGATCAGGTTCAAAATGATTCCAATTGCAATTTACAAGGTCTCCGAAAGGAGCCTACACTTGCTGATACACAGAAAGCTATTCAGGCAGAGAGAAGTCGCTAAGGGGCAGAGTGGCCAAAGGCTATAAACCCAATTCAGCGAGGACAGCGAGAGATCGTGGAGGAACTCACCCACTCGGAAGTTCGTGGCTGTCAGGGTGTCGGCAGCATGGCCATTCTCACTAATGAGAGTGGTGGTGTTCCCCTTCTCACAGCTGTTCTGACAGCTGCCCTTGGTGCACGTCACTTTACAGATGCTCGGAGTAAAGACCACCTTGATGCGGCCAGTGTGGTTACTCACTAGGATCGGAGGCAGAGAGAAAAAGAACAACAAACACATCAGCTTAGTATCCATGAACTTGCCTTGAAAGTTAAAAAAAAAAAGGATAAAGGAAAAAAAAGGAAAAGAAAGGAACAAGGGGGGAAGAGAGAGAGGGAGAGAGAGAGAGAGAGAGAGCCCACAGCCCGACAGGTTTAAGGAAGAGGGAAGTCGAATGCTCGCTGCTCTCTATCCAGTGGTGTTTCTGAAACAGGAGTAGGAAGCTTAGCAAACAGAACTCTGGGATGCACTCCAAAACCACATTTGAAGTCGAGTCACTGGAGTGGGATTACTAACCACAATGCTGCACTTTATTTGTGGGCAGACAAAGAGCAATACGGAGGGCACTTTCAGATTAAAGAGCCAACCCCGACAGGCAGATGTAATGCAAGAGAGGTTGGCCCTGCACCTCATGCTGAATAAACTCTTGTGTCCTCAACTTGCATACTTTCCCTGTTTCTCTGCTTATTAAGTCACTGTTTGCAGCCCGACCCCTGGAAATGTTTTAGGCATGCGGCATGTCTGAAAACATCTGTCTCAACTCTCCTGGCACTCCCAGCCAAAGTGATCAAATCCTGTGACGCAGCTGCAGGGACCTGATTCTTTTTCACAACTCTAGGGAATTATTTCTCCATAGGAATTTGTGCAACCTATATTTTGTTTTGCTAGGTACAGATCCCATACGAAAAAGAAGTTAGGTTAGGTCCCATGGATAAGGGGTTGCCTCTGTAAAAATACCTTCATAAAGCTTGAAATACAGCAATGCACCAACCAATCACCTGAAACAGATACCTCCACCCCTCTTACTCATGCCTTTGTGCCAGTTCTAGGGGGTTGGTCTCATAGCCTAGACATTGTCCCTAAGCTTTTTTACCCAAGGCTGGTGCTCTGCCACAGCTCCATCTCCAACTTTAGGGAGGGTAAGAGTCTCAAGAACTTTCCTGTCTAGACTGTCATTGAACCAGAGATCCTCAGAACTCAGTCTTCTGAATATCTATGATTAAAGGCATAAGCCACCAGTGCTCAACACAAGACCCTATCTTAAAACTGAATGCTAAGCCAGGTGCTTGTGACCCATGCCTAAATCCTAGCTACTTAGGAGGCTGAGATCAAAGGATCACGGTCAAAGCCAACTGGGGCAGAAAAGCCCATGAGACTCTTATCTCCAACAAGCTACTCAGAAAAGGCCAGAAAGGACACTGTGGCTCAAATGGTAGAGAAAATGGTAGAGCATTGAGCACAAAGAAGCTCAAGGACAGCGCCTAGACCTTGAGTTTAAAAAAAGCAACAACAAACAACCCTGAATGCTAAACTGAAATCTTTTTATACAATTATTTTGAGATAATAATTTTTTAAATGCTATAACCTAACTTTGCAGCTGAGGTAGTATAGTGTCTAAAAACTGAGCACTGGATTTAAGATAGTGTCTGAGTTAGAATTCTAGCTCTACTCTGGTGTGATTTTGGACTTGTCATTTCACCTTTTCTTCAAAGCATAAGAGGACTGGCACTGACTTTTTTTTTTTTTTTTTTTTTTTGCTCAGTCGTGGGCCTTGAACTCTGGGCCTGGGCACTGTCTTTTAGCTCTTCAGCTCAAGGCTGGTGCCCTACCACTTGAGCCAAAGCATTACTTCGGGTTTTATGATGGTTAATTTGAGATAAGAAGCTCTCAGACTTTCCTGCCCTGGCTGCCTTTGAACTGCGATCCTCAGATCTCCGCCTTCTGAGTAGCTAGGATTACAGGTTTGAGCCACCAGCACCCAGGGGCACTGACATTTTCTAGCCCACTATAACTGGTATTTCACTCAGGGCAGACAAAAAGCAAAACCAGTTGTGATGAGGGGCCAGTAAATTATGGTCTGTAGCCAAACTTAGTTCAACTGCCTTTTCGTGTCAATGAAATTTAATCAGAACGCAGTCACTCTCATTTGTCTATGTGATTACTTTTAAAAACCACATGCTGTCAACCATATAAGAGGATTCCAATCTGATCTCTGACAGACTGCCATCAACAACTCTGTTTTGACAGCTACCAGTGTGATAAGTACTCAACCAGGTCATCAGGTCAGAAAGCACTGGCGGTAGAAGCAGTAGAAGAGTGATGGATGGTACGAGGCTTTGGGTCTGGTGGGAGGCAGTGCTGTCTTACCAGCAGTGGCCAAAGGAGGAAGATCCACCCAACCACTGCTATCTCTGCCCACCAGAAAAGCTCCTCATGCTCTAGTCTAACACATACTATATTTTCAGCCAATCATCCGAGATCCCTCTAGAGACTGACAATAGATAAATTTAGTTTGAGTTCAAATCGGAGCTTAGAAGCAGACAACTTTAACCAAAGATGCCACTCCAATTTCAAGGCTGGGGTAGTAGCTCAGAGGTCTTTCTACACAACGATCTTTATCTGGTGCTTCCCTTCCATGCACTCAGCAGTGTCTCACCTTTACTTGCACCTGTCTGGGCCCACTTTGGTATAGGCGGTTCCTGACACATGATTCCTTTCTTGAACTGAATGGACCCTCGCAGTTAAGCCTCCACACTCAGTCCTAATGGAGTCCCCCACAGTCTCACACCCTAATGCTTCTTCCACATGGAAAACCTTCAGTGCTCAGACAAATGACACAAAGTCCCCCCCCCCACAAAAAATGCTAAAATTAGAAGGATTTGAAGTTATCAGCCAGATGGTCCTTCTTAAAGCGAGTCAATGGGAGGAGGAAAAAAAAAAGAAAACCATCTGTTCTTGGAGTGTTTTTATTAGGGTTCTCCTTCCCCAGTGGTTCTAATACCAGAGATCAAGGCATTGAAGAGGCAGCTTCTATCAAGACATTAAGGAAGAGGCTGGCAAGCTTTCATTTTCTGTTTGTTTCATGCTGGCTCTCGGGCTTGAACTCACAGCCTCTCGTTCCTACTCAGCCTTTTGCTCACAGCTGGCACGCTACTTGAGCCACGCCTACACTTCCTATCTTTTTCTGGAAAGGGCTGAATAGTAAATGTTATAAGATTGCAAGCCAAGAGGACACCACTGCAACTATCTGACTCCATCTTGGTAATTGGAAAGCAGCCTCTCAAAAACAATATGTAAAGGGACAACAGTGTTCTAAAAGAACCCTTTATCTGACTTAAACAAATGTAACCCCTTTGTGCATCATCTATACAGTAACAAGTGAAAGAAAAAACAGGAAGTGGCGCTGTGGCTCCAGCAGTAGAGCGCTTGCCTTGAGCTGAAGAGCTCAGGGACAGCTCCCAGGGCCAGAGGTTAAGCCCCACAACTGACAAATAAATAAATAAATAACAATATGCACGTGAACAGGCACAACTATGTTCCAATAAAACTCTATAAAAATAGTTTTGCTGCCCAGTGCTTTAAATGCTTACATGACATTTCCAGTAATCTGGACATGTACCTAGAAATCTAAATTTAAGATGCCATGGAATACTAATTCCACAAATGGATAAAATCCTCATATGTTGGTATTTGGGTCTTTTCTTAATAGCACAAACAAATCAGCTTAGGCTATATGTTGTCAGAACATACAAATATCTTAAGGATGCTTTGGGTATACAAGTGTGTGAAGCCCAAGAAAACAAGAGACCATCTTCCCACTTAAAAAATATAAACTTCAGCCAGACAGAAGTACGTGATGCCGTGAGGGGTCCTAATCATTCAGGAGGCTGAAATCTGAGGATTGTGGTTTGAAGCCAGCCTGGGCAGGAAAGTCTGTGAGATTCTTACCTATAATTAATCACCTAAAACCCAGAAATTGAGCCGTGGCTCAAGTGGTGGAACATTGGTATTGAGTAAAAAAGCTAAGGGACAATGCCCAAACACTGAGTTCAAGCTCCAGGACTGGTAATATATATAATATGTAATACATTTATATTGTATACATATTCACACACATACTCATGTATTTTTCTATATTTATACTTCTGTTTCTATTTATTCTTGCTCTTGATACTTTAATGAAATTAGAAACCATATGTCAACAATATTGGCTGCTCGGACATTAACTCTTAGCACCAGCAGCTGTCATTCAGATTCCAGTCACCTAAATTATGTTCACTTAGGCAAACTATGATGTCCAAAGAAAGTAAGCACTTCAACATAATTCCCATTCATCTCCCAATAACAGTAGTCGCTTTAGAAGCATTTGAGATTCTCCAGGCCTATTGTTTAAAAAAAAAAAAACCACAACGTTTACTTCTTTGCCAAAGAAACAAGTTTTTTGGCCTGGATTCACTTGGATTTTCAAAAGGCAGTGACAGTTTCATATGACTTAATTCTGATTTTTACAACATCCACATCGTCTTGGAAGCAGAAGACACATTTTATCTCTTATTTTCCCTGGTGTTTTACAAGCATTCTGCTACAAAGTAATCTGCTTCAAACACAGACACCTGTATTCCTGCTGGGTCCTCTTATCTCTTCATGAAGCATTCAATTCTTCATATAATCAGTGATAGCTTCCTACCTCCCTCTCCAAAATTAGCAGTAAAAAAGTACATTGATTCTAAACTACCACTGAGATCTCTAATAGGATCTCCATAAATATTGAATCGATTAGAAAATACACTCTCCTATCCCCCATTCTATGTTCATCTATCTAGGGCATAGTAGAAAGACTCTACATTTTAAAGTAGACAAAACTACAGCCTAAGCCACACCTGCAATCCTAACTACTCAGGAGTCTGAGATCTGAGGCTGTGGTACAAAGCCACCCTGTGGCAGGAAAATCCATGAGACTCTTACTTCTAATTAGCTACCAGAAAACCAGAAGTGGTGTTGTGGCTCAAAGTGGTAGAGCACTAGCCTTGAGCAAAAGAGCTCAGATCTTGAGTTCAAGCCCCATGACCAACAAAAAAACTAGGGGCCTATTGTTTTGCCCTTCAATTTCCTTATACGTGCCAAGCTGAAGACAGCAGTCTTAAGAAGTCAACAGGAATTCACAAAGTTTGGATAGAACACGGTCTTTCCTCCAGAGGTCACTGGTTTATAAGAATCATGGTCTTCTAATAAGCTAACATCCAAGGGGATCTGGTATCTTGCATATATAGTACCCAAGAAGCATGGACTAAATGAAGTAGCCCCAAAGTGTTCATGGGTCAAAGGTGACAGCTGGACCCCAGACACTCAGGAGTCTCAGGATGCTGACAGCCACTATGGTCTAAGGCCCTGCATCCAGGAGGAAATAAGCTCAGAACCAACAGCGGGTACCTTG